GTGAAGATTTAGAATTCGGTGTGGAGATTTAGAATTCGGTGTGGAGATTTAGAATTCGGTGTGGAGATTTAGAATTCGGTGTGGAGATTTAAAATTCGGAGTGAAGATTTAGAATTCGGTGTGGAGATTTAGAATTCGGCGTGGAGATTTAGAATTCGGTGTGAGCAATTTGAATTTGGTGTGGGCATTTGGAATTCGGCGTAGAGTTTTAGAATTCGGTGTGCACTTGTGGGCCACCGTACAGTGTTCTTTTGTACGATCCTCTCATTGTAAATTAATGGGAAGTTTTGTTCGTTTTACGTTCTTTTTCATCCTCCTCTTCTTTCACAAGACAAGGGATATACAATAAAATTATATATATATATATATATATATATATAATATATATAATATGTATACATAATAATATAATATATATAATATGTATACATATATGTATATAGCAAGTCGTTAGTGGAACTCTCAGGCCAACAAAGGTGCACCGCGCCAGGAGGATCAATCAGTAAAGATTCGCAGTCCAAACCTCACAGCAAACACGAACGTAGAAAGTTTAAAAATCCATGTCCATCGATGGACAACTTCTGACGTCAAAAGTATAAAAAATTTTAATAAAAAACGTTTCGGTCCGAGATCTTCTTCAGTTATTTACAACTTTTGAAATAAAAAAAGAGAGCATTAAATAAGATCGAAGTGCTAATGATTACGTAATTACAGATAACGAGTAATGAGCTGGTGCTAATAAGGAGATAACAAAAAACCTAATTACAAAGAAAGCAATGAACAAAATGCAAGAAACAAACCCTAAAACTAAGAGATAAGAACACTAAATATACACATGTATATATATATATAAATCTCCTGATGAGTTGGCAACCACGAAACAGGCCTCCAGGGATGAACCTGCGGTTCATTTGTCTTTTTCCTCCCGTAAAAAAAATATATATACATATATTTTGTACGCGCCTTTTATAACACAAATTCTTCACACATGGAGCCTTCTTCTCTTCTTGATTCTTAATTAGCTAGCCGAGCGTACAAACAAGAACTCCGTACCCATCCTTGACCTAAAAGTCGATTATTGGCTGGCTTTGTTAATCCATATTCATCATAATAAATGCATTTTTAGCAGTCCACCTTGTCTGCCAAAGAGTGAAGATGTGCCGTTCTTCAATGCTGAGGACGTTGAGCATACAAGAGCAGACTGGATGGAATAAGACTCCTAACCTGCAAAGAAGAGCAACTAAGCAGTCAAATACCGGGTTGTCTAGTAGAAGGTAAGCATTTCTTTGAAAAATATTACCTTAGCTCCTTCAGAAAGCTAAAAGAGTCGCAGTATCTTCTAAACACATGGCAGTTGATCTTTCTCAACTCGAAGTTCGAAGTGTTTTGTTAAAAATTAATGAGAATCACGTGATTCAGAACATTGATTGACATTTAGGCTTTGTACTTTATGTCACATTTCAGTCGGTAAATTAATTTCAAAAGGAAAGGTCTTGTATAAGTTGCTAACCCGAATCAAGTCTTTAAGCTAACCTGTTGCCAACGGCCCGCCACAGAAGTAAGTAAAACATGATTGTCAAATTATATTTTGAGATATTTTGGAGTCGAATTATTGTATATATATATATAAAGGACAATACAAACGGTTTTGTATTGTCCTTTTGCCAGAACGAATAATTGCAATATCGTCAATAAATAACAATCAAATTATACGATTTGTGGTGGATCAGTTCGTCGGCCTTACTTTCGACGCGGAACAGTAAGGGTGTCGAAGCAAAACCTCTGTTACCCCAAATTGGATAGAATTGTGTTCTTTTGGTTGAACCTTAAAGTAAAGGTGTTATTGATGTCAAGCCGTGTTTACTCTTCAAAACGCATATGCTAACTTTTTAAAACCGAAAGTATTTAATTCACAAGCTTGCGAAACGTGCGCGCTGTTAGCCATTTTCAGGCCATTTTCTTTATTGTCTGGCCGACTGAAATGCTTGGTCGATTCAGTTAAATTTAGCGCGCGTTACGCACGAAAGTCCCGGATGATGTCGCCTCATTCTGCGCGATGGACTCACTATATTCTTTGGTTGAACATGGTCACGACCTCTTTAGGAAATCCATTCCTCGCAGAATTTTCGTGGAACAAATATATAATACAAACTTCATATGTGAACGTTCCTAACATTGCAATTCCATGAAGGGATGCTATCGCATACTCATTAAAATTTGAAACATTTAATTTTGCAGTACCTCATCTCTTTGGCAATTGATATTTTCAGGTATAGGAATGTATTCAAAGCCGGATGAAAGGATAAAGAATCTAACTTCGAAAGAGAACAAGATAAAATGGCTGAACACAGGGTGGGTACCTAAGAGAAAAATTTTGAGATTATTGAACGACAGTAGCAAAAATGGTGGCACTCTAAACATATCGATCTTTTAAGAAGACTTTTTCTTCAGCAATGGACGGACTTTGTTCATCTTTGCTTGGAAATGGTAAGTGAATAGTCTACATCAAGCCATAATTTTTGGGCAAATTTGTTATAGTAGTAATTCTTTTCGCAGACCTTGAGCGATCCTACGATTTCAAATGTGTAGTGTACATTTAATTCTGATACAAGCTCTCATTTGGCGTAATTTATCTCGGTAAATTTCATTTAATTGCTTTAACAGAAATAGCAACTGAACAGTACTTTAAAATTGGCTAAACAAAATGAAGATTCTTGATTACGTAATAATGATCGCTCATTTTTTTTTTTTTTTAACAATTATTGTCATGATAGTATCTCGGTTTATGGCGCAAAAATGTGATATTAGGCCAGGAAAAAAAGCTAAAACAGGTTTAAGATTCAGATCTTTAATTCGATGGAGTAACGTTAACTTTTGCCTTATTTTTTTCATATCACACTAATGAACACCAATAATTTACATGCCGCACTATTGACTTTCATTGGCCCTGCACAAGTGAATGCCACAGCACTGTTTGCAACTACTCAGTTTAACATAGCGTTTCTGTCATACAGCAACTACAACTTAGGACTGAGACTCCAAACGACTCCTTCGCAACATAATCATAGACT